TAAAGTAAGCGAAAACTTGGTATTTATAAATAAATAAATTGATTTGTTGTTATCATAAATACTACAAATGTATTCATAAATGCAATGATAGTATGAATGCATTGTGAATGCAATGAATGAGGAATTTATTGCATTTTTGGAAGAGTGACAAGAATTTAAGCGTTCATTCATTTATACATAGATTACTATTTCATTAATTAAATTAATTATCGATTCAATTAATTCAATATAAAACACAATAAATAATAAAGAGATAAACACGTGAACACATTTCATACGAGTTTAGCATTAATTCCTCTTTAATTCATTGATTTTTACATTAAAATAAATTGTAAGATAAAAATGACTTACTTTTATATCAACAGTGAATTTGATCAACAAATGAATTCAAATATCCATTAATCGATTCTGTATTGCAATATATAATCATTGATGAGTTATATATGGGTTATAATTATTGCGATTAATCATCGATTCAATGAATGCAACAATAAATGTATTGTTTTAATATAATTTTCATCATTTCATACCAATAGATATATCCATAATATAAGCCATTATTTTAATTCAATTATCAGAATATTGTTCACGTATTCAGTGTTTGTTCGTTGAATATAAAGCCATTTGATTATAGATTAGTGAAAGGATTTGAAGTGAATTATAATCACATGAAATGTCTTATTATTATTGTTGAACTGCAATGAGAGCAACGGAATCGTCCAATCATTACACATGAGATATGTGTCTCTGCTTTTCATTATATCATAAAACCATTCAATTGATCACCGCATCAATGGTTGGCACAACAGAATCGGCCAACAAATGGATGCCTGTGTCGATGGTGTGGACTCAAGAGGAATCTAAGACATGTTTACATGCATTGAGCACATCTTCAATGAGAGGGTGTCAACAGAATTGAGTGCATTTTCCACACACTATATGCCAACCATTGGTCCGATTCTTGCACTGCTTTTGCTGTACATCTCATACACAGAATCCTATAAACCGTATAAACGTTTCGTTCAATGCATTCAACAAAACGTTACTTATGTTCAGTCCATCAGTGCTTCCACTTTGACATCCCTTTCCGTTTCGCTCATACCTTCAGAGTAGACAACAATTGCATTGATTTGCCATTAATTATCACATCATCACCACTACTGAAGACCATGCAGAACGACCAGGGTGAAACTGTCGACCTATACATCCCCAGGAAATGGTATGTCTAGTCATTTGGTCCCAAATCAATGATAATAACGTGTTTGTTGTCTCTTAATGTATGGATCAGTTCGGCGTCCAATCGGATAATCCACGCCAAAGATCACGCGTCCATTCAAATCAATTTGGCAGAAGTGGATGAGGCGACGGGTCGGGTCACCTCCAACCACACCGCGTACGCCATCTGCGGTGCCCTCCGAAGAATGGTATGTCATTAGTTGTCACATTCATTGTCATCATCACCGCATGTCTTGAGCTCTTTTTAACGCTTGTTTTGTTTGAATGCATTCTTAGGGCGAATCCGATGATTGTATCAATCGATTGGCCAAAAAGGACAACATTTTGCCGAAGTATGCCTTTTAATTGGATTCCTATTTCGCCTCAATTTATATTAAATTTTGTTTTTTCCGTTTATTTACAGGAATTTCTAATTTAATAATTTCTCATTAAATATGAAATAAAAGTTTGATTTAATTATAAAAATAAACAATCGTTTTAATTATACCACGAGTTATACAACTTTATTGAGTTGATTAAAAACTATAAAGTATTGAATCTTTACAATATGGTTACCGTAATAGGGATTAGATATACAAATGGTTACCAATTAAAACATGATAAACAACTAAATTATGTTATTGTGATATAACATAATTTGTGGTATGAATTACAATGAATTACAATTACAATTATTACAATTCATATACAGTATACAAACTGTGCATTCAATAGAGTATTGTATGCGAGAGTTGTCTGCCATCAGATGTCACCACAAACTGAATGCAAACAAGGATTGAGTCATTTGTGAGTAATGTAAGAGACATTGCAGGCAAAGACACAACCGATTGTCACAACACTTATTGTCATTTGAATAGGCGATCACTGGTTGGATGAGTTGATGCCATACGTGTGATGATGTCATCTGATCTGTACGAAGAAGTCCGTTTGTACCGCTCGGCGAGAGAGCGCGAGTCGTACGACAATTTGGCCGATTTGTATGCCGTCATCAATAGTGTTCAGTGTCTGGAGAAGGCGTACATCAAAGACAGTGTGACGGCGAAGGAGTACACCGGCGCCTGCAGTAAGCTTCTGGTCCAATACAGACAGGCCTTCAAACAGGTCCAGTCGGCCGACACCCCCGACATCGAGGCCTTCATGAGTAAGTATCGCTTCTCGTGTCCGGTGGCGATGGAGCGCATCCGTGAGGACCGACCCATCACTATCAAAGACGACAAGGGAAACACCAGCAAATGCATCGCTGACATCGTCTCACTCTTCATCACTATTATCGACAAATTAAGGCTCGAAATCAAATCCATGGATGAGGTCTGACACGAAATATTGCCTATTGTTTCCCATTATATGCTTGTAATCAATCATTTTTGTGTTTTTTGTTGAATCACAGCTTCAGCCGGACTTAAGAGAACTGTACGACACTATGAATCGCTTGACATTAGTTCCGTCCAGCTTTGAAGGCAGAGCCAAAGTGAATGAATGGTTGACCACAATGTCGGCGATGGCGGCCAGCGATGAGCTCAATGAGACACAAGTGAGACAATTGATCTTTGATTTGGAGTCTTCTTATAACGCATTCAATAAATTGCTTCACGAATCGTAAACGTGTTGTGCTTTCAATCCAACGCTTTATTACTAATTCTTCAATTTATTTATACATTATATCTATTTATCTATTATTATAATTATTACTTCAAAATATTTTTAATATAAATCGAATATTTTGCGTATTTTAATGATTAAAACAACAATAAATGTATAATACGGTAGTTATTGTAATATCCATATTATTATATCGTTTAATAGAATGATTAATATATTACTCAATGTTTACAAAATTATAGTAACATTTTCTTTAGTAATAAACAAAAATATTTTTATGAAAATCAAAGTTTAATTTGGAAATTATAATGAAGTAATGAATCGGATTATTAAAAGTGAAACTAAATAATCAATGTGTCAATCGGTGTTCAGTCGGTCCATTCGGCGATGTTTTTAATCAATTGTTTTGCGTGTTTGATGGCATCGATTGGCGTGTAATTGAATGCAACCGACTTGATCCGACTTTCATCCATATATTGTTCTACTTTAGAGCCAATTCTGAACGAGTATTCCTTGAACTCAGAAGCGGTCAACGCCTTCACGAACTCCGGAGGATTACTCTCTTGCAATTCGTGCAACT